AGTAAATTATATACTTTTGCTTTGAAAACCATAGAAATCAGTTTTCCCAGGTCTTTTTCCTATAAAACATCCATTTTTTCAAAGCATTATGTACAATTTTAATCATAATATAACGATGGAATGATATTTCATAATTTTAAAATATAAAGTGAAGTCAATGACTCAAAAAAGTTATGTGCTGCAATGAGTTTGAGGGGAAGTTTCATAATCTATATTATTACAAATATAATCTATAATGGTTCAACTTTTTAGTGCTTGACAGGGAGGAATCATGATAAAATGGTTGATATGAAATTATTTGATCATAAGTAGGAATATTTAACATTTGAAATGCATCTATGCTCTTTTGGTTTTTTTTTTAATCTTTGCCCAAGGACATGTTTTTTTATTTTAGAGAAAGGGGAAGGAAAAGAGAGGGAGCAAAAGAAACATCGATGTAAGAGAGAAACATTGATCAGTTCCCTCCTGGGGATCAAACTCACAACCTGGGTATGTGCCCTGCCCGGGAATCGAACCCCCAACCTCTTAGTGTATGGGGACAAGGCTCCGACCAATTGAGCCACATCAGCCAGAGCTCCATGCTCTTTTGTATAATCATATCAGAGTCAAGTATATTTATTTTACATCTGTTATAACTGCTGTTGAGAAGAAGAAATACTATTGTCTATTTCCCAAAAGATATACAGAGCAATTTTTCTCCAGGGAACTTGTGCAAACCAAGATCTAAACTTTTTACATAATATATAAAATACGAGGAGCTTCTTCAGATTTATTTTTTGAAGTCTGGAGTGCTAGCACTCTCCAATTAGGCAACAGTTTTCCATTTCTGTAACCTAACTCACAGCTGCTGCTTACTGCAGGTCTAACGCAGCAGACCTGATTTCTTTTTAGGCTTCTTTTCTATTGGTGTTTTTCTATTTATCTGAATGACTGATACCAGACGCTAAGTGGGTCCGAGGCCTCCTGTCACTACTTGAGCCAAATTAAGCAAATACAGGGTTGACTCATGTTTGAGCATTTATTCCAATAATGCTGGCTGTATGAGGAGAGCAGTCGATCACCCTGGAAATTCTGTTCTCTGAACCCCTTGCCAGTTGGCTAATTATATATGGGTGGGGGAGAAAATAACTAGGTACAGCTGCGAGCTGCAAGTGTAACAGGGAAAGGGGAGGAGAGGGCCTGAAGCCGGGCTTCCAGGAGCTTGAAGTCCCATAACAAGGTGGCTGATCTATAATGTTACAAACAGCTCAGCCCATTCCTGGGAGCAGAGACTGGTCAGCATTCCTGAGGCAAACTCCTGGAGTGGGTCAGGGTCCAGGCACAGCAATCAAATCAAATCATGTCCTGTCCTTGTCTGCTTTTAAAATGTATTTTCTGAGTAATGAACCCGTCTGGGCTCCAAGATGTCTTATCTTTTATGCCTGTTTCATACTCTAGTTTCCCGGGACCTGTAAGAAAACCTCTTATCTATCGTTAGTAAATAATCATTAAACAACTGTGGTTCTATTTTTATTATGTGCCCTTCCCCCTATCATGACCAGGTCATAAAATATCTCGTTAACATTGATCTTGGACTTTGCAGAAGATTCTAAACAAGCACAGTTACACCACTGTCTTGCTAAATTCCAAACCTGTTCTTTGCCCATCTACCAGGTCACATTTACTGTCAACCAAGATCACTGGGTCATCTTCTTTGTCCTTAACCTGTAAAATTTGTTCCCTCAGGTCTTCTAAGTCATTAAGCGTGGACTGAGCTGTAACAGAATATACTAGTGCAAACCCTGGGCCATTCGTCACATACAAATCCCTTATCACCTTAAATCGCTTTGTTCCTGCTGTGTCCAGGATTTCGAGTACACGCTGTTGGCAATCTACTTCAGCTTGCTTTCTGTAGGAATCTTCTATCATTGGGTCATATTTTTCTACAAAAATTCCTTGAACAAACTGAACTTTCAGAGCAGACTTCCCTACCCCTCCTGAACCAAAGACCACTAGCTTGTACTCACTCATGATGTGTTCTATTTAAATACTAACAACCCCCCTTTCCCCACCGTCCAGCCCCTCCTCCACCCCTTCATCTCCTGGGCCACAGCTCCTGCTGGGACTCTGTGACTTCATTTCTCCTTCACTTTTGAAGAATAATTTTACAGGACACAGAACTGGTGAGTTTTTCCTCTCAACACTTTACATATTCACTCCATTGTTTTCTTGGTTTCTGAGAAGTCAGATTTAATTTTATCTTTCTCTATAGGGAAGGTGTTTATTTCCTCTGGCTTCTTTCAGGATTACTTAATTTATCTTTGTTTGTTTGTTTTTGTAGTTTGAAGAAGTAGTTCTTTGGCATTTACTCTGCTTAGTGTTCTCTGAACATCCTGGATTTATGGTTTGGCATCTGACGTTAATTGGAGAATATTCTGAATCATTATTGTCTCAAATATTTTTTTTGTTCCTTTCTATCTCTCTTTTTCTGCTGGCATTCCTGGTTCACATACTGTAGTTTGTCCTACAGTCTTTGGATATTCTGTTGTTCTTTTCGGTCTTTGTTCTCCTTGTTTTTAACTTTCAGGGATTCTATTGCTATAGTCCCTAGCTCAGAGATTCTTTCTTCAGCCACGTCCTGCCCATCAAAGGCATCCTTCATTTTTGTTACAGTACTTTTTAATCTCTAGTATTTCCTTTTGGGTCTCTTGTAGGATTTCCATCTCCCTGCTTACATTGTCCATCTGTTCTTGCATGTTGTCTCCTTTATCCATTGGAGCCCTTAGCATATTAATCATGATTGTTCTATGCCAACATCTCCACCTTGTCTTGCTCTGATGCTTGCTCTGCCTCTTCAAAATGTGTGTTTTGCCTTTGTTATGCTTTGTAATTTTTTATCGCTAGATGGACACGATGTACTAGGTTAAAGGAACTACTATAAAGAGGCTTTTTGTATTGTGACAGTGAGGTGTGGGGAGGGGAAGTGTTCTACAGTCCTACGATTAGATCTCAGATTTTAGTGAACTTACACCTCTAGACGGTGCACTTCACAAGTGTTTCTCAGTTTGTTTCTCTCCCTTAGGTAAGAAAAGATGGCTGGGGTGGGCTGGAGTTAGGTATTTTCCCTCCCCAGGTCAGTCTTCGGCTCTGGTTAATCAGTTTCCCCTGAAGGCTGGCCTTGTTAAGAACAGCAGAGCGCTCTGGTGTATTTCAAAATAGTCNAGGCTCTGATAATAGCAGGTTCGGCTCTGGTTAATCAGTTTCCCCTGAAGGCTGGCCTTGTTAAGAACAGCAGAGCGCTCTGGTGTATTTCAAAATAGTCCCTTTCCCCCTCCACCCTGCCAGAAGCCCAAGGGCATTTTTCTCTGATATTTACTATGGTAATATGGTCAAGCTTCTAGAGGCAAATCTCACTCTATTGTGCCTCCTCCCCCCATGACTAGAGTTTTTAGTTCACAGCCTTGCCCACACTGAGCCTCCAGCAATGTCGATTATAGTTCAGGTTCTCCTAATGCACGAGTTCCCATGGTGGTTTGCCCGTGAGTCTCTGCTCTGGAGGTACCTGACCCCCGAATTCACCTGCTGGTCTCCCTGATCTTAGGGGCAGTGGTTTGTCCTTTGCTCTCCCGTATCTTAGGGACCCAAGAATTGTGGGGTTTCCAGTCTGCTTAGCTTTTCATTTGTTAGGGTGGAGTTTCGTCCCGGCATTGAGGTAGGGGAGCATCATTTCCCACCCTGCTCCCAGGCAGACATGTCTAGCCTCGGTGTTTTGAGAACCAAATTTACAAGATCTGACTTACAAGTTGGTTACAAGCCAAAAGGTGCTTTGTGCTTCAGAGGACTTTTCTACGAGGCCAGCCTCAGTGGGAGGGGGGAGGGGGGAATACTGGTGTTGGGTCCCGTCAGTGCACAAAAGCAGGTCCAATGCTACAGATCAAACTAAATTTCCTGTTGGAAAACCGTGGAATTGATGAGGAGTGTTTGGAAGAAAAGGAGCAAGATTTACACAAAAAACTGATTCAAGTTCACAAATAAATCAATAAATAATGTTTTGTAAAATCTAGAGCTCAATTTTGTAAAGTAAATAATTGTCTGACCACTATGCTGTACACCTGAAACAAATACAAAATAATATTAAATGTAAACTATAATTTAAAATTTTTTTTAATTAAAAAAAAAAAAATCTAGAACTCAATGAAAACCACCTATGATTCTTAAAACCTGATAAAATTTTCCATAATCTTGGAAATTCTAGTCCTGAAAGAACCAAGGTCAGCTAAGGGAGTAAATGTTTATACAGAGAGTCTAGTCTAAAGAAATACATTCACTTGCAACAACAATATATTTCTCTAAATTTTGTTTTTAATGATGAATCTTTTTCCTTATGATAATTAGATCTTAAAAATTACTAGGCTTTTTTAATGCAATGAAATGTTATGCTTTTATTTTTTTAAAAGTCACCATTGAGTAATAACGTAAACCTTCATTTGTGACTCAGATAATTACACCCACATATGGGAGGCCAGGAGGTTGTCGATGGGCACCACCACTAACTTGTCACCTCTCCAGTCCCCAGGAGGGCATAAGCAGCCTTGCTCAGGTTAGTTCTGCACAGACAACATGTAGGTTAACCCCGAGGTTAGTGGCCAGACTGCCTGGGTTAGCGCTGAGCTCCGCCACTCGCTGGCTGGAGACCTTGGGCCGATTACCTCACCTCCCTGCCTCCATTTCGTCATAATGTAATGGTGCAGTGTTAGTCAAAGCGTCTAATTCATTAGGTCGCTGTGAAGATTAATTACCTAATGTTATATGCACCGACGCTGATTATTACTTTTATTACTATTTGACACAAAGTAATGAAGGCTATTTTTAGAAAAAGGAAAAATATGTTTATTCCTCCTCTATCCATTCAAAATATATCTTGACCATTAGTGGCATTATATAGATAGCATTTTATGATATAGATAGCATTTTATGATATAGATAGCATTTGGGTTAGGCAGCACCAGGCATTACACAGATTTGATGCTGAAGATATCTGTGCTTTTTATTTCTGCTGTCTAGGGATGTACAATGCAGTCAGAACGGGGTAGGGCCATGTGAGATAAAAGTCCGGATAAAAGGCCATGGGGGGGGGGACAAGATGTCTCTTCATTTGGCAGCGTGCTTCTTACATATCTCCAGGAACTCAGCCACGTCGTCAGGGGACCCCAAGATGACCGGCGCCCTCTGGTGGATGTCCGTGGGCATGATGTCCAGTATGGCTTCCTTCCCGGTGGTAGCCAATCCGCCCGCCTTCTCTATGACGTAGGCCATCGGATTACCTTCGTACAGCAGTCTCAGCTGCAAAGCAAGAGCGGAGGCCAGAGCCTTCAGACCACAGCCAGACAGTGCCGAGCTGGTGGAAGCCTCCCAGGTAACTGACAGTCTCCCGTTCCTTCCATGAGGTTGTAAAAGCCCCCCACACACACAGCCCAAGGTTGCATATAAGACCAAATGGTTAATTGAGCCATTTGGTTAAATTAAGCCATTCATCAAGCCAGAGGCAGGAATAGATTGCTCGATGCAAATATGAGACAGAGCACCTGGGCTCAGGACTGAATGACATATTGGCAGAACTGATGGTTCCCTTCTTTTTATTACATGGAAACTGGACCTAATGAGAGATTCCGTGTGTGTTTTGGATGGAGCTTTGCCTATTCTAAAAGCATAAAAAAATTCATGGTTGTGTCTGGCTGCAGACATCTGGAAAGCAGGCTGGCTCCTCCAAACAGTGTAATATTGTTTGCAACTCTATACACATTCCTTTTATAATTCTCCCAAGGCTTGAGGGTTCAGATTTACTATATTATATGCCTTGGCATTTGCTTTTAAATATTAACTTTTTTATTGTATGTATTTCATGCAGTCGCCTACTGAGCAGACAGCTTTTTGCAGGTGTTTCCTGAGGCTATTTCCATACAGGTGTCATGGCCAGATTTGAAAAACTGAAAAAAAGAAGGAACCTTAGTATTTGTGTTAAAAAACACTTTTTTGAGACATTAGAGAAAAGGGCTATGAAGCAGGCTAATCACACAGGCTGGGACGCCTGAGGTGGCCATGGCAGGAGTGCTGTTTTACATAAACAGGATGCTCTCAGTGCAGTGGACACCGTATGCTCTAAACAGAGGTCCGAACCTATCTGAATATACAGATTTCTATCTTAAGGGGATTGTTGTCCCTCTTCTTTCTCTCATATTAAAAAAAGGACAATCTATTGGGAAAAACAAAAGGCCAGCACTTGGGAAGGCAACACTGCCCCTCTGTGCAGAAGGGAAGCGGGGCCCACAGCCAGCACAGCCTGCCCCACCCTTGTGCAAACGCTGCGGGCTGTGCCTGGTGCAGTCAGTCCTACCAGCGTACCTAAAAGTCCTAGGTCTCCCCTGCGGTTCTTCCCTTCCCTAGAAAGGTACCATTTTCCAAGCAGCAAATGTCGGCTCGTTAGCTACTTCTACTTCATGCCTTTTGAAAGCAATCAAAGAAAACCTCTATTTGGAATACGTATTTGATTTGCTGCCTCGGTAATGGGGCTGGACTGTTTCATTTCTCTTTATGAATGGAATGTATTTTGTTCGAGCCAAACCATGTGCCCACCGGAAGCACTGAGCACTTTTAGCCCCCTCCTGACCAAAACACCATCACCTATCTTTAGCAATGGAAGACTCTGCAGAGACCATTTTTAGCTGATATTGCCTGGCTTTAAGCAGGACAGCCTTTAGTCTAGACCAGAATATGTCACAGACATCCTGAGCATCCGACGGCAGTCTCACAGCCAGCACAACCTTTTCTTCTCCCTAAGTCCACCCCCCCGCTGCAAGTGAAATCCACTGCTTCTCAGAGGGTGTTTACCTTTCCCTTGGGGCTCTTCTTGTTTGCTGGGTACAGAAAGATCCCTCCATAGACCAGAGTGCGGTGGACATCAGCTACCATGGAGCCCACGTACCTGGAGCCGTAGGGGGCTGAGTTATCCTGCAAGGTACAGACCAGCAATAATTAGGGTGCAGAAAAAAAGGGAGTTCTCCATGTGGCCTCCACACTTATTTGACTCAACAATCATTTAGAGACCACCTACAAGGTGTGTGTTTAGGTCTTTGCTAGGAAATGTGATGAAAATCCTGTTCCCAAGGAGCAGAAAATGAAACAGTGGAGACAGACTCTCATGCATCTTACAGTGGGTCACCCTCAGGAGACCCAAGGAGGGTGCTGTTGATTCTGGCTATGGGGTTGGGGCAGGCATCACAAAAATGCTACCACTTAGCAGAACTCTGCAGGTTAAGAAGGATTTTGCCAAGCTAAGAAGCTGGCCCAGGGTGGGGTTTTCATCAGAGATGACAAAGCTGGAGAGAAAGCCTGGGCCAGCTCTGACAGCCCTGAATGCTGAAAACATTTGGGCTCCCTCTTCAGGACACAGAAGCCATCCACGGCATTTGACAAGAGTGTGACAAAATTGGACATTCCCACAAAGAACCAGCTCTGCAGCCAGCCATTTCTTTCCTTCATACTCAGTAATTTGTAACTGAGAGACACCAGATGGACCCCTCACACTTGAGATGGCTGACAGAAACCCGTCAGATGCAGAGGGGCAGGTACCTGGGTGCAAGCACCACATTTTGCACCACCTGGGATCAGGGACCCCAGAATTTATGCCATGAACTCATTCATCCAGCTGGCTTCATTATCCTGACTTTATTCTGCCAAGAGAAAGTGGCAAAGGCTAAAACGGACCTTCCGATTTTAACGCCCCAGGACAGGGGTCCCAGTCCCCAATGCCTGGGTGGGGACTTACTCATGGGTCAGGGCACAGTGGCATCCAAGCTGCTCTCAGCCCTGCCCCCTTTCTCCTCCAGGGTCAGTCACGAACCAGCACACTTCTGCACAGGTGGGGCCCTCCCCCAGCCTTCTCCCAGGGCCCTCACTTACGGGGGGGAACTTCTTTCTCTGGACGTACTCGGTGACCGCGGGGTCGAAGTCCTTGGCGTAGCCCTCGTTGAGGCTGTAGATGTTCCCTTTCTTCTTGATTTTCACATCTTTGTCTACCAAAATGAACTCGCCAATGGCCTGTGAAACAAGGGGAACGGGGCAGAGCTGATGAGCCCCTCCCTGGGCCTGCGTGAGGCTGGGCCAGGCTGCGGGCAGGGGGCCAGGCCTGCGGTCACACCCATGCATCAGCACAAGGAGCTTGGTTCTTGTTTTGTGGGTTTTTCTTAGTGGGGGATAGCTGACTTATAACATTACATTAGTTTCAGGTGTACAACACAGCGATTTGGTATCTGTATACACTGTGAAATGATCACCAGCACAGGGAGCTCCTGGCCACCTCTCCGAGAACTGTGCAGGGCCAGGGCGAAGAAGGGTCATTGGGGACACTGGTGAAAAGGAGCCGTGGAAAGACCAGAGGCTGCTGTAGACGTCGACAGGGCATAGAGGAGACTTGTGACTTTGCTTTTAAATGGTTTCAGTAAAAGAAGAAAGAAAACATACAAAAATATGGAGGCAGATATGTGTAAAATAGCAGCAAACCCTTGGAGAGAATGAGAATTGTGTCCACACATAAGATGTTTATGCCGTCTCAAAAAAATTAACTTAAATAGAGGTTTGTGCAGGCAGGAGGTGGGCAAAGGAAGACAGGGACAGCCGGCTCCAGCAGCGCGCTCGGGGCTGCTCAGTCCCGGCTCTGCGGGTGGATGGCGTGCCCCTTCTGCGTGTTGCTATAGGGAAGAGCGGAGCCTGCGTTTTGATTTACAGCACAGATGCCTTCCGCTGCCTCCGCTCAGTGACTCAGTGTTGCTCAGAACGTCTCCCACAAAGCCCCTGTGCCAAGCTGGCGCCTTTAGAGCTTAGGTTCTTCGGAAGACACTGGAATGTGAGAAGTGCCACTTAACTCCAGTCGCTCTGGACTGAGGGAGGTGATTGGGGCTCTGCTCATCTGGGGAAGGGGTTGCTCCGTGGAGGAAGCATTAGGAGAAGGGAGGCCCCATCAGCACGTCTCTCCCCGGACATTTATTCTCATAAGGGGCCTGTGGAAGTAGAGAGGGAGGGAGGAGGAAGGATAAGGGAAAGGGGAGGAGAGAGACTAGAATTCCAGTGGTCACTGAAAGGTGTCATCATGAGTGATTCCTCTTTTTTTCTTTTATGCTTTTTAGTATTTCCAACTATTCTGACCACAAATATGTAGAAATATTTTTTTACGGTCAGAAGACTAAGTCAATAAATATCTTTACCAAAAAGCTGGAAATGAAGCCCTCCCATAGCAGGAGTTCAGAGCTCAGGTAGCCGTGCGGCTAGACACACCACCCAGGTACAGGGCAGAGCGCCCAGTGTGCAGGGAGATCTGCACGTGGAGACAAGAGCCAGAAGAGCTTTTTGAAAGTCAAAGCCCATTAAAATGCAAATATAGCATTCGGGTCTTTGTTAGTGGAAGCCTCAGCCTGTCCTGGCAGCAAGCCAAAGTGAAAAGGGAAGGTGAAGCTAGTCCCAGGCTCAGCCCATGGGATCAGCCAGCAGAGGGAGGGTCAGCCAGCAGGGCGCTAGGACAGCGGGCACTGTTCTTCCAAACACCCAGCGGCCAGTAGGTGTGAGGAAGGAAAAGACTACCAAGTACATAGAAACTTACTCCCGGAGACACCGGTCCGCAATCTGGAAACAAGAAGAGAGTTCAGTTTTGCTACATGTCTGTCAACGCAACGGTAACAGAGAAGTCACCTGGAGGAAGTCAGGGAAGGAGGGAGAGTCTAGGAGCTGAGCCATCACTCTCACCAGTGATTTCAGGAACTGTGCCCGGGCTCCAGTGAACTGTGCTCTGGTTCTGCCACTGTTTGCCCTGAGGTCGCCTCATTGGAGGCTTAATCTAGTGCTGTCCCCCACCTTTGTTTATTTATTAAGCGCCAGTACTTCCAAGGAGGCAAAGTGCAGTTGTGCAAGAGTGCAGGGGGCAAAGGCACCTACACTCTGACTTATGTGCACAAACCCGGGGCCTCACCAGGTGTAGCTTGTCCCTCCCAGGATTCCAGCCGGCTGTTTGTCCTTGTGTTCAGTTTGTCAGCAAAAAGCACCAAATAAAAATGTTTCATTAATGTCATCCAAGGACACTTCTAAAACTAACAGGTGTTTATAAGCCCGATTCTTTTCACCTGGGGACACTGGACCAAGCACATAATGAACATGCCGACCTAGCAAAGATTGTTCTATGGAGTTTGTATTCAATGGCAGGTTGAGTTGCATGAGATATTTTAAAAGATTTCTTTCCCTAATGTATCTGCTCTGTTGAAACTGTCATCTAACTCAATAAATAAATAACTCCAATTAATAGATATGTAGAAGAAATGATCCACAAATTAAAACTGCCAATGAATATTCTTCATGGCACCTTGGGCTTCTCTCCATAAGGCAGCTTTTCTCTATAAGATGGACTAAGGATTTAGCTTCATCTCCTTCTTTACTTTCACGTCCCTGAGTTCATCAGAGCCTTGTCGGAGCTGCAGAGGTTAACAAAGGTTTGCATGCATGTGCACATCAGAGAGATTCAGTTGGGCTATGTGTTCACCCCAGGAAAACAAGCTAGTAATGAATATAGTGGGTGGTAAACAGACCATCCACAGGCCCTGTCTGGCCCAGAAGTGTGTTTTAGTTGGCTAGCACAGTGTTTTACAAATCCAGAAACATCACATTAAAAAAAAGAGAACACACAAAAAAAGTGTTTTTTAAACATTGGAACCTGTCCAGTTCACCACAGTCCCCACCATCCCCTGGCCGGCCTTCACCAGCACACCTTACTGGCTTAATGGGCTTGCCTGGCCTCGATGGGCATTTCAGTCAGCTGAGTAATGTCTGTTCTAAAGATTTCATCTTGGAACAAAGGCCCCCTTTTATGCCCTGGACAGATATCATTTCTCACCTCCATAATCTTCTCATGGCATCCACGTGGCCCCCATTTTTCTCAATTCCCCACTCCATCTCTGTCCCTCCAGACCTCATCTCCCACCTCTAAGTACCCCTGCCACACACACATACACGACAGACACTCATAGCCATCAGCCAAGCACCTCCCCTCCCCCAGGGCTTCTCACCGGGTCCAGCATGAAGCAGTTGACACCGCAGGCCATGGCCAGGACCAGCATGGTGGCACTGCCATAGAGCGCATAACCAGCGGCCACCAGGTTCCGGCCCGGCTGCAGGGCGTCCTTCTCAGAAGGCTCGTCAGTAGAGTTCTAGGACAAGAAAGAAAAGAAAACACGCTTTGGTTCTGTTTTACCGTTCCTTTTTTCAGTTCAACCATTAGCAAGATGCATTATCAAGGTGCTTTCCTAGTGAAACAGGGATCTTCTTAGAGGGACCTTCCTTCACAAATCAGTGATGTCCTGATTCTGCTCCCACAGCGGCCTTCCCACATGCCCCAGGTTTCCGGCAGCTGGCTCCTTCTTCCCATTACGGCCCTCCTCCAATTGCACTAATTTGATATTCCCTTATTTCTCTATTTTCACTTTCAGAAAAGAGCATCCCTTCTTGCCAGCTCCCACTAATTTAATCTTATTATGGGCATCAATGTCTTTCACCTGCCTCTTCCATCTTTATTTAAACAAATTAAGGCTGGGCTGTAGGTCTGCGAGTCCGGGGAGGACATCAATTTCACGAGTTCGTGCCAGTTGCAGCCCATCCCCCTGTGAGCAGTGTGGTCCACATCACAAACACATCAGAGAAATTCTCAGAAATATGGAAGTTTAGAGCATCTCTCCAAGAGTCATTACAGAGCAGGGCAGATGCTTCCCATTTTTCTGACCATGACCCATGGTAAGAGATGCATTTTCCATCACAAACCAGTATCAACACACACTCAGGTGCACACACTACAGAAATGCAACCAAACAATACTTACACTTAGAACATGACATGCACTCTAACCTTTTCTCTTTTTTTTCATTAAAAACACAGCCCACTGGATCACGTGACCTACACTTTGTCTAATACTGAGGAATCTGAAGGAGATGGCTCTAATCAATAACTGCTAACTGATAATTACCTTCTCTATTAACACTTGGTTGGCTTCTTCCTTCCTCAAAACAGCCCCAAACAAATCTTTCAGCTTGAATACTCTCCACTTGAACTTAAAGAGAAATGAAAATGGGCAATTTCTGCCGATTTTATTTATTCCTTCCTCAGCCAGAGATTCCAGCAACTCAGAGTAAGAACTACCTATGTACAAGGAAGAATTGCCAAAATAATTTCTTTCCATTTTCCCTCATCCCCACTCCTAGTGTCTAATAAAGGTTTGTGTTGAGGTGGTTGGTCGGTTGGTTGGCTGGTGGCTGGGTTGGGCCAAGTTGCTTGATTGGTTTCGTTTGCAGTCACAGGACAGAGCAGCATAGGTAATGCGGACTAAACACAATATAGAAACTTTGAGCTGTTTTCCCTAACTCCTAATTTTGCCAGAGCACAATCTGGAAAAGGAACTAGCCTCCTTTGAAGACAGTCACAGAGTGGGAGGGCTCAGGCCTCTATCCTCTGTCACAACCATTGAACCCGGCCAGGCAGGGCGGCAGAAACCAGACAACGGGACTATGGAAACGAATGAACTGGCTAGAAGCCGCTGGAGGTGCGGAGTAATCAGTTCTCCACTGGCCAAAGGTCCCCAGACCTCACCTGGCCCAGCACCATCCACGCCTGCCTGTGGGGAAGGTGCCAGAGCCAGCAGACTTTCCCTGAAATACTGTCCCCAAGTAACCTCACCCTTTGACATCTTTGCATGAAATGATGGCAACACTGTCTATAACCCACATGCTCACAAGAAACAGACAATAATGCCATCGAATCGTGGATGTGGAGGAATTCTTTTCCAGCCCGACCCCTTTCCAAGACATGAATTCCCGCCCCGGGGGTGAATGCCTTTGCTCCGGGAGACCTGCTGCATTCCCACCTGGATGCTCAGGGGCCGATGATCACAAGGAACCTGGCAAAGTTAGAAAGCTTCTGGGCCTTGTACCCCAGGCCACCACCCGCGCGGGTGTTGGTTTGTTTTGTTCCACGCCACCCCATAAGGAGTATAGGGAAAGACACCATGGATTCTGGAGACTTAGGTGGAGGCGAAGGTCAGGCACAAGTGTGATGTGGCCGTCAGGTCACCAGATGGTCTTCGCTTAGAGAGGCCACCAAACGCTCCTTAGAAAGTCCTACAGGGCATTTGGCAGAGTCCCCAGTAAGGTAGCCAATATCGTTTACCTATTACACCAGGAAACCTAGCAGACAAAAAAAATGTATAAAATGACGTCCCTGCCTCAAGGAGCTTATAATCTGTACTGGACATCGCTGGCTTTGTCCGGCCACCGTCGGCTGTGCGGATAATGCGCCTCCCACCCTCTCAGTTCCAGGGGCGGGCACAGGACCCTGGCCTGGCCAACCAGAGTATCGCAGGCTTCAGGCCATAATGATTGGCTGAGGGGTAGGCACGTGACCTAAGCCAAGCCAATCAGAGCGAGTGACATATTCTTATGGGAACTACTGGGAAAGAGGCTCGAATTTTCTTCTCGAGCTGGAGCGCTGCGCGGGAGCGGACCAGCCGCAGGCGCGCTGCCGCCCCGGAGGAGGGGCGCGGAGCGATAAATACAAAGGCCGGTGGTGCGTCCTGGGTGCGGTCCGAGTCCCCAGGGCAGCTGCCCCGAGGCAGGCCCGTCCCCTGGGCTGATCGTTACTGGAACCGATTTCTGTTTCCTTCCTCCCTCCCTCTCCCCCGCCCCCTTAAGTGAGAGTTGCGATCCCGTCCATTGAACCTTAATGCACAGCACTGCACTGGTGGAATTAATAGCTACCGTTTATTGAGCACTTTCTCTGTGCCAGGCAGTATTTTCGGTGCGTTGTACTTAATTTTCAGTATCTCCCTTTGCGCATAAAGCACAGAGTGTACCTTGCCCGGAGCCCCCCAGAGCCAGTGTCACTGTCGGGAAGCCACTGCTAACAGCCGCTGTTCCCTCTGGCGATTATTAATCCGTCTCTCTGCTCAGGTAAGGAAATGAGTTGAATTTTGAAGCTGCTAGAACACTTTTAAAACTCTGCTTTCAGTCATGGGCACTGGATTTTTTAAAGGACGTTTGCAAATTATAACGTGCCCGGTGGAAGGTGACCATGCTTGTGTGAGGTCTAAGAATTATCTCGTACGGAAGATGTTGAGCTCAAAGAGGATTTTTTGAAAAAGGAGGGCAGGAAAACCATTACTAAACATATAAAAGATTCTTATTTTCTGATGCTCTAAAAGGCCAAATGACAAGAGGGAGACAGATTTTGACTCGGTATTTGGACAAACATTGTAACTGTGATGGTTGCCCAACACCTCGGGGTAATTATACTCCTTCTGGGTGTCCCCAGCCAGAAGCTAGTGGCCCCTCCTGAGGTGCTGTCGCAGGAACTGCACGGAACACTGGACCACATGCCTCTGGAGGTCCCTTTGGGGCCTGTTTCCAGGCATTGCATGGGCCAGGCCTGGGCCGTTGCCGGTTCCTGTTACAGACGCTGTGAGCTGAGCAGCTGCCCAGGGAGCTGAATTCTAGCCCAGAACCATCTGTGCAGAAAGCAGGAAAGGTCACCTTTGAAGCATTAGGCACAATCAATGTTTATGCCCCATAGGCCCTCAAATGGTTTTAAATAATCGATAAGGCTTTTGAAAACCAAAATGACTTCAAGGCAGTATCCCACTTATCTTTTTTTTTTTTCAGTCTTTTAAGAGTCATTTCAGGTTCATTGATAAGGGTAGGGAGATTCATCACTGAGTTGCAGCATCTTTAATTTAAGCTGCTGTTGCAAGCTGGTTTGATTTTTTTTTGTGACAGCCAATGTCTCTGTTTCCTAGTTTTCTTTTTTTCTTTTCAGGGTCTTTATTTGGGGGGTTGAGGTGGAGACAGGCTGGCAAACATTCACACTGCTTTAGCTGGGGGTGAGTCATTAACCAGCGGTCTTCCTTCACAGGAAGACTTTTGTTACAAACCTCTCTTGATAGACTATAGATCTGATACTTTGCAGGTAAAGTGATCTGCCTCAGTGTCTATAACAGGAATGGTATATTTCATGGTTGACTTGGAATCTACATAAATTCTTGCCTTTGCCTTCCTGGTATGAGCATTAGAACCTGTTACTCAAATTGATTAGACGTGCATCTCCCTCTCAGCTGAGACAAAAGCAAAATACACTCAGTGACAAAAGAGGACTGTCCCAAGTGGTCCTGCTTTCCATATATTTGAAAGCAGATTATGTGCAATGCTAGACAAGTCACTTTGAATAATAAAGTGAAAATTGGGGTCTCACTACTTATATTATGGCCTCTGTATTCTAAAACGAGAGTGGGGAGAAACCTTGGCAGTCAGCTCACCAGCCACCTTGTCCATGACCATAATCTGACTCAGTCTTAATGGCATCTGTGAGGTTTTATTCCGAAACTAAATAAGGGCTGAGGCCAAGATGACATAGTTCAGATTTCATGTTTTCTGATGGGCCCACAGGTATTCATTCTATTTGTTTGTATGCTTGAGGGCTCTTCCACCACCATGGGCCCAGGCGCGTGCTCACGCGCGCGCGCGCACACACACACGCACGCTGCACTTAAGGAAAAAGAAGAGAGGCTCTGGAGGTAGAGTCACTCCCCCAGGTACCCAGGTGGAAAAGCCAGGCAGGGGTCCAGGTCCCCACGCCGCAGCAGCGTGCAGCGAACATGGGCAGACAGTGAACGTCCTCAGCTGACGTCAAACAGGCTCTCCCACGCGGCTTAGCCCTGCCAGCACAGCATGAAGTCAGCCACAAGCAACGTGTAAACAAAGGGCTTGACCACATGCCATGAAAACTTTATTTATGGGTGGTGAAAATTAAATTTCATATAGATGTTATGGGCCATGAAATATTATTCTTTAGGTTTTTCTTCAGCCATTTACAAATGCAGAAGAGTTATTTTTTGCTCACAGACATACAAATCAGGAACCTGGCTGAATTTGGCTCCAGAAAGGGTTCTAGTTTGCAGAGCCCTGATGTGGAGAATTTCAAGGACAATTCTGACATATATAATCTCTATTGTTGTCACACTCTCACAATTCTCAGCCACATAGTATCACCACTGTAACTACCCTCTACTCTTATTTTTAATTTCATTTTCTATTATAAAGAAAGCATGATACAGTTATGAATAAACTATCTTTCTCTTCCCACCCACACTATACTACATTTTCTTTTAACAACTTGATGGATCTTCACTATGCAGCTAATGCTGAAAAAGTCAGAACTCAAGACATAAGACTATGTCAAGCCTCACAGAGTTTCATGATACACATTCTGGCTGCTCCACCAATAGTGAAACAGGACTGGATGCTCAGCCTTAACCTTCCTCTGGATCCCAAACCAGGGGCTTGATATATTACATTTTACCTTTCTGTAGATGCCAAATATGGTTCCAATGGACACAAGACAATCGATGTTGGAGGATCCATCAAGGGGATCAAAACAGACCACATATTTACCCTGAATTAAAAAAAGGAAATACAACTTTAAAAATAAACACATTATAACAAAATAGAAAGTATACACTAAGGGGATAAAAAGGGGAATCTAGGGGAATGTTCAAGAAATGCGATTCTTATCTAAACTCTGTCATAGAAGGTATGAGTGGCATGCAAAATGAGAACAACAATGAATATATATATATAAATATCAAAGCATCAGTAGGCAGAGAAAACACAACTTAGAATAGGAGGTGTAGATGAAGGTGATGGAATATAGATAAGTCTTAATTTCCTACATCATTGATATAGCTGAATCATAATTTTGACTTGAGTTTCCTGGCAGCCAAAGGAAGAAGAGAAACAAGGTTAGTCATTTATTTCTTTTTATTCATTAGGGATATAAACATAATTCCTTAAGTGAAGCAAAGACAACATTAAGGTCTAGAAGAACCTTCTCATAGATGACACTTGGGTTGCAGTGCACAGAGTTCTCAAGGGTATCCCAACTGGAATTCCCAAAGGAAATAACCCTCTGTTGTAGTGAGCCTACCAAAGGTTGTCTTTGAATGGGATTGTCAGTGGTGCACTGGAGTGGGCTGGTTTCTGGTCTCAAGAGTGAGTTGTGCACATCTCTTCCCAACTCTGCTCTCAGCAATGTCACGTTGGTAGCTTGAAATCAACTATGGGGGAGTAGTTACAAAGTTGATATTGGCAATTACTACAATCAAAGATTTTTATTTTAAGACAGAACCAGTTTACCAGCACACCACTGGGGATTTTCCATCTCCAGATTAAGCTACTTTAAGATGTGGTTTTTAGTTTTCTGCATAAAATTAAGACAATTCTCTGATTCCCTGACCACTTGCTCTTAAATTGCCCTGGCTGATGCAAGAGAAACCGTCATCTGGCAAATGGGAACATGCCTATTAGGAAAGCACATTATCGTCAGAGAAGCTGGGCTGACTGGTAGAGAATATTGAACAACAAATTTAATCCACACACCTGAAACTGCCAAGTACCTTGAGAAGCCCAACAGAAAACATGAACTTTGAATCTGACATGTGCTATATTTTAGGAATCGTGTAAAACACATTAATCGGATGTGGCTCCCTACGCTCTTCAAAATGTCCTGCCGGGCCGGGCGTGGCTCAGCGGTTGAGCAGCGACCTAGGATCCAGGCGATCGGGGTTTGATTCCCGGTCAGGGCACATGCCCGGGTTGCGGGATGCAGGTGATCAATGACTCTCTCATCATTGATGTTTCTCTCTCTCTCTCCCTCTCCTTTCCTCTCTCTGAAATCAATAAAGATATATTTAAAAAAAAAAAAATGTCCAGACTATGTATCAGGCGGCCTCTGTAAGTTCATCTTCTGATTGCCTTTTTCTAATTCTACTCCCTCATGTCCCCAATTCATCTCAAACATGAAAACAGGGAAAGGCAGTAAACAAGCCCATATAACTGCACCGCTCCTTTCAAATGTTTTTTATTATCATATGATTGTTGTTCTAGGAAAGCTGGATATACTCTGTCCATTCTCTTTTGTAACAATACAGTAACTTATTATTGAGCCCCTCCAATGGGCCAGGTATTATCTAGATGCCGGGATACAGAGAAGACTATAATTCATTCTCCACCCTCAAGAAACCATCAGTTTAACAGGATTCCAAATGGACTCCAATGCATAAGTCAGTGACTGGAATTGGGAGCAGTTCAGATGGGCAGGAGAATGAATTATAGTCTT